GGTCCAGAGGCCTTCTTCTGAACAGTTCCCACATATAATAGATTCCGAAGATGTCTGGAATGTTTTGATGCCAGAGTCAATACATGAGACTCGCGAATGACCGCTGCAAGCGCGAGCGAAACTAGAAGAGAGAGAGTCGAAGCACGTGACCACGTTTGTATTGCGTAAAATTGTACAAGTGCGCGCTTTTGTAGTTTTTCGTATTCAAACAAAAAGCGATTATGCAATTGACGAAATACGTGGTGTTATAATGAAAGCAAAATAAGGGTACAAAACACCACACATCGAAGAGCTGTTGCAGCGTCCGTGCGACTGCTCGTGGCCCCTGTACTTTTAGGTTCATCATGTCAGCTTTATAGATCGGGTGGATCACGTCCGGGCTGACGCCCCGGACTGGGGAGTTTTAGACAAACAGCGTGAGTGTTTGCACTGAATTGCGCTCAAATCATGCAGAATGAAACTCAGGATCTAGCTGAGAAGTACCACATCCAACTAGTAGGATGAGATGTTGGCCTCGAAAATTCTCACCGACTGAACCGCCCAAATTGAGTTTTTTTGCGTTTCTATGTTTGAAAAAGATTTTATTCCTAGTTCGAACATTTGTACACCAAATATCGATTGAGCAATGACCCCATTATACAAACAAAACAAGTGAACGCGAACAATTAGCTAGAACAGCTCACGGGAAGGAGGTTTCTCTTCAAATTGATGAGTATGACGTCTCATTTTACCGTTCGTGGTGCGGTGTGGTTCCCTCACTTAGCTCCTGTAGTCTATACCTTGGAGCGATGTGTTCACTAGTCGATACACCACTTGGCAGGTGTACGGGCAGGTTCAACCCTCGTACCAGCTGGCAGAAAGGACATTCTCTACCTAGTGTTCGGAATAGCTGTATTCGTGGAAGAGTGGTGTTCAGCGTGAGCTAGTTGGATTCAATGAACAGCGTACAACTTCTGGACATCTGGTAGTTAGGGTGGGTAACACAAATGTGAGTCATTCAGAATTGTACGGCAGTGAAGCATCGGTGTTGAACACTGATGTCATGCTGTCGATGATGATGATGATGATGATGATGATGATGATGATGACGATGATGTGCTGACGATGAATGCTGGGTTCTTCAGTCGAGCACACAACCCAAGGACTGCCTAGGGGTTCAAGTGTGCTAATATGTATGGGGGGTCAAAGCGATGGAATATAAATGATCCGTGCTTCCTGGTATTGATTTTCTTGGACAAACTCAACGAGATGTTTGACAAATACATTCATTTATATATCCATTTAGTTTTGGCTGAAGACTCGGCTGAAGCCGCCCAAGAAGGGCGAAATCGGTCATGGATTGTCAAAGAATTTTCAGCAACTTTATGAGTAGTGTGTTACGTCAATACACTGAGATGTTGTTCACTGACAAGTTCGGAGCAGTATTTTTATTTTTATTTTTGTTCCATTGACCCCAAAACAAGTACTGATGATCCCCAAAGTCACTGCTTGTTCGATACACCACATGTGATTGTACTTTTACCGGTTATTCCCATAGGCGGATGTTCCCTCCATTCAAGGTCAAGGTAAGCAATTTGGACAAACGTGCCAAGTACATTGTCCTGATGGACATCGTTCCGATGGATGACTGTCGCTACAAATTCCACAACAATCTGTGGATGATCGCGGGCAAGGCGGATCCCGAGATGCCAAAGCGGATGTACCTACATCCAGATTCGCCGTCCAACGGAGAACAGTGGATGCAGAAAGTGATCTCGTTTCATAAACTGAAGCTGACCAACAACATTTCCGACAAGCACGGTTATGTGAGTTTGACAGATTTTTTAAAACACGTTTTACGTGTAACCCTGGGCAACCAGTTAAAAGTACACGATAGGAGAGGTTCTTCAACTGTAGAACTACTGAGGACTGGGTAATGTAGCAGTGTCCCGGTGAGTACCTTTCAACACACGACACTGAAAAAGCGCAGTGGATGGATGTCTTGAGTGTCATCCGGCGGTTGCTCTTGAACTGTTACAGCAATCAACTGTATGAAAGAAAACGACCATCGGTCTCCAAACGCACACAGAGCCGTTCAGGTCTAGACGTTGACCACACTGACCTTGAACAAAAGTGAGTTAACCTGTTCTCATATCGACCGGTACCAGTTGGATTGACACGATGTAGTTTGTGCGTGGTATCGTCAAACAAATTGTCCAACACCCGCACACGCGCTGGATGATCGGCGTTGCTCTATCATCCAGCATGCTGGCTGTCGAACAGACCATAGAGTGAGGCCACACCCAGTTTCCTGTTTGCTTTGGCGAAGGAACGTGTTTTCTCTACTCTGAACACCAATGTCTTCGTGGACGGGGGTCTGTGATCAGTCGCGTAAACTAACTAACTATGAGAGACCAACTCTCACCCGCATCTGCATGACGCGCCATCACGCACGCATCACTACTGTGGAGTAGTTGGCGTTGAAATGGACACCTTTGTGTGTATCATGTTCGTGTGTTTGAGCACATTTTAAGTCTGTGCCAAACTCTTCCCGGTGTGCGAGGGTGATACATAGCTCTGTCGATTATTCAAGTTTGATTTTGTCTGCCTTTCAGCAATCGTAGAGTGGACGGGGAAGATGTGTTAACTTGTTTTGTTCTTCGGCGTCTCAAAAGTGACAGTCTCAGACAGTCCTTGATCAGGTTGAACTTGTCAAGATGAGTCCTTCTCATTGTTTTCCACTGCCTTTGGATTCACACTCAACTGTGGAACTAATCACTCATTTGTGAACTGAGATGTCATTAAATTGAGTCATAAATGCGATTCATGAATCATTCGTTTACGATATTATTCGACTGAAGCTGCTTCGGAAAGGCTGTCTCCTGCTTCAATTAGACTGGCTTTCAAAATGTCAGAGAAAGATTCTTTAGCGCCATACTACTTGTAAGTGTGATACCTTGGAATTTTACCGGTCTGCAATACCACGCTAGCATCATAATCACGGGAGAAGTGTACCAACTGATCGATAGGCAAAACAACAAAACTGGTCGATAAATTTCGATAGTTTAGGCCCTAATATCCCTCAGTAGTGTAATCTTTGATCAGAAATTAGCAAATGCGGATACTACTTTGTATGTCAATTGATTTCAAGCTAGCCGTGGTCGACCAGGCCTTCTAAACACCCCTACCGATTGCTTCAGATACATTTTCTGATGTGGATATCCACTGCGCTTCGCAGTTGAAGCTTTCATACAGAGCGGCGGTTTCTGGCTTGTGTGGACAGTGGTAGCCCACGAGTATGGACTCAGCATTGGCTGGCATAGTTTTTACCAGTAAACACCGTGGTCACTCATGAGTACCGTGAACTCAATCGATCGGTGCAAGCACAAATTTGTGGCTGACAAACCAGCTGGATAGACCAGATCCCCCCTGATAAATAAGAGTTTCCTATCCTGTAGAATAAAGTAGAGATACTCGCCAATCACATTGATTTGCATACTTATTGGGTTGTAACAGGAAACTCAAATGAATTTAGCTAAACCATCCGTTTATGATGGTCTTTCGATCAGGCTGCCTCGTTCGAGATACGGCATCGCATTCTTTAGATGTAACACACTACTCATAAGCTTACTGAAAACTCTTCCACAGCCCACGACCGGCTCCACTTCGGGCTCATCAAGCCCCCCAGTTTCCGACAACCTTGTGCTCCAAAATGTACACGATCTACCAACTCGGGTACCGTGCCTGCCTGATGGGTCCGAAGTGGAAAGGCGAAACTGGTCATGGGCTGTCGAAGAGCTTTCAGCAACCTTACGCGTAGTGTATCACGTCTAGACAAAGAGAAGATAGTTTAGTCCCTGGTCGGTAAACCCTTGCAGGTATCAACTTGGTTAATTCGAAGCTGTAAAGTTTTACCAAAGTTGGGGTTATCGCATCATGAAAAAATGGCGAGGCCACAGGGCGTTCCACAAACCATTACCTTCAAAAAGCGTGTTCGTCTGAGTTCGGGCGTCACAGCTGTAGACATCTCCGAGCCTCATGCTACCAGGCAGACTTGAACTGTCTTCAAACGTTCATTGTGCGCAAACCCTAGCTAATGATTCTAGTAACGCTAATAATAACAATAGCAATAAAAATAGAAAAAAATCAATTCGTAACTCCACTGTCATATACCGGTTATCAATTGGTCTGTCTTCAAGTTAACTACAAATCGATTATTTGGATAATCCAGGGGTGAACGAACCAGCAAAAATATCGACAATTTTTGCCGTGGCTGCCATTTTTGAACACCGGTTGCGCAGTTCGTCCTTGTTGAGTTGAAAGTTGATCACCCAGTTTTTGGCAAATATAACGACATTGGTAGCGATTTTGTGCTTACTAGTTGTCTTTTTTGGAGTTGCATTTAAAACGGGACCAAATATGGAGGGGGGGGGCACAGATTTGCCATTAATTAACTATTTGATTTAAGGTCCATTTGGATGTTACATAAGGTATGGGTTTCATCTACCGACCCCGGAACGCGAACACACTCTTTGGAGACATTTAACCAGATCCCACAGATGGCGTTGGTGGTGGGGTTGATTGCGCCTCCATTTTATCCTAGTTCAAAGTTTCACCGAATTGATGCAGTTCAACGAAAGACGATGAAAACGTTAGTCTTGGTAACTGTTTTGCTTTTGTACTTTTTTGACCTGAAGCCAAACCAGCAAGGTAGAAGGGACCCCGCATAAACTCGACCTGCACTGTTTCCCCAGCCCATCTCACGCGTGCCTTGAGTCTGTCGGCCCATCAATCAATACAGTAGCATATTGTCCATGATTGGACAATCACCACGGCAGATGACCCTGCTCCCTTCATGTGATTGGTTGGTTTTCCCATTGATTTGTTTCGCGCTCCTGTACCGTCACGTGTGCCATCACCGGAATAGAGAACGTTCCCCACCCGTGCGCTTTGGTTCCGTACTAAGAGCAATGCCGGAAGCAGTAGAAATGTTGCAACATGTGACACAATACAGTTTTACACGTGGTTCGTACGCTGGAATTCAGAATGCCGTGAATCCAAAACGGTTGAAGCAAACTACGATAACAGTGGGGGAACTGAGCCCTGCCTTCCAAATTCCGGATATTCCCACTAAACTCCTCCCTCCCGTATCCCGTATTTTCTGAATCGGCTCATTCCACATTGGGAAACTGTGCTTACCCTCTGCAACCGACCACGTGATTGAAGGTTTGTTGTTCATTCCATCAATAAAAGAGGTAAAATTGATCAACAGATGACATCGCACGTTGATACGGTACCCTAGATGTTGCCAATACGGAGGTCCACGCCGTCCGAACGAACCCCTCTGACAAGAGAGGCAGATATTTTCTGTGCCTTGTGGATTCGCTCCTCCATGTGGAGGTCAACACCGATGCCGCCATTATTGTGGCACTTGGTCTCCGTATAGTAATGGGGAAGGAACCTCTGATTAAAAAAAGCGGAAGATCAGGAGAGATGGATTTGAACCGGTAACCTCCCGTTGGCAGGATGGATCATTCACCCGCCAGTCTACCGAGGACGCTCACTTTCCGTCACGATTATGAGCCTGAATTTTACAGCTATTTCACCACACCTGTAGCTGCTGGAAAGTGGGACCTTCATGCAAACTCCCCAGTGGGCCGGTCCTCGTTATCTTCCAGCTAATCACATTAAAAAAGTAAGAGCGGATTTGTTGGAAATTGAGGTGAGAAGTCCTAGTACACGTGGTTCATCGTAGAGGTTACCCAGAGGGCTGAGTACTGGCTTTGACAGAAATCATTTCTGGGTTCGCTGTTAAAAATCGGCTATGAAGTCCAGGTGCGTGACGAAAAACCGCGCCACGCTAGTTTCTGACGGCATCACAACGTGCCGCGACCCTGGGTAAAGTCGATCACAAACACTGCCAAGTACTTTGCAGGTACCTGCAAAATTAGCTTTCCCAAAATAGTCCTGAAAAATCTGACATCTTGCAGAAACACTTGTTCGCAAAGAAAAACCTTGAAAGTCGTCGTCACAGTTTGAAAAATTGTCTTTCGAGTAACCGGTGCATAGCAGATCACGTGACTGTGAGTGCAGCAGTGCTACGACGGGTCTCGTACACGTTAGTCCCAATTCCAACCAATCTTTTGTTAGTAAGTCAATGAATGTCCAGAGGTCCGTTCGGGAGATTAGTGGATCGAATGTGTCTAGATATGCGTGTGCGTGCATCAAGAATGATTCCAAATGTGTGCGAAATGGTTTCTCGACTTTTCACCATCGGTCCACATCACGCAGTCCTGACCGGACCTCAAGATCTTCTCAGTTACCTCATAAATGTAGGCTGCCGTCAAAGCCTTCGGCACACTGGGCACATGACTCAATAACCTATGTTAAGGTGGAATCATTTGCAGGTGTCCACTGTGAATACCACCCATTAGATGGTGAGGTGAGATGGTCGTGAATTTCAGGTCCATTGCTCGACGATAACCAGGGCGGTAAAAAACACGGCAGTGGGAGATCAACGGTTTGAATCTGCCCTTCCGGTATGTCACTCGTTCACGTTACATCTACTCAAAGTTGGCGTTCTTGAACCCATTTGAGTTGATTTGTTCGAACCTTGCTATAACAAACACTGGCAAACTCCTACAAGGAAGAAATTGAGCTCTTAGTTTCTATTTTGAACCAGTTGTTGTAAGTTCTGCAAAACGAAGTTTGAAATACGCTCAATACCGTGAACTAGTTCGCGGAACAACAGAGATCGATGTCTTTCATGGTCACGTTATAAAACAAAAATGTGCAATAACTACTCCCACGTAAATTAACTTGTGTGGATAGCGAGAAGGCCGCCTCTTGGTCTGGGTCCGCATCCATGTCTCCGCGGAACCCACTGATGTTCGAACTACAGTGTGTCTTCAATGTGCCTTCAGAGAGCCCCCCGTTTCTCACTGGTTAGGGCAAGAACTCGCTAACCGGAACTTTCGTGGTTCTAACTCAACCTCGGCACCCTGACTGCTTCAGTTTGGGCTTGGGCAACCTGGCAGTATTTCAGACCTAATGCTTTCCTCGGTAGCTAGGCGTCAAAAGTATGTTACAGCTGAACGATTCTCATCATTACTGTTATTAGTATCTTATTACATGGGCCTTAGAAATGAATCTTGAGATATTACCCACTCCGGTTTTTCCTTTGATTTTAACATCCAAACCACGTTTGACACAATGTGACGTTGGTTTCAACCAACCATTTGTCTGCAACACAGTTGTCACACTTGATTTATAGATACGTGGGACAACTTTGTACTTTCAGTATTCGCTCAGTCAGCTCCCGGGAAACCGTTATATCATGAAACTGTTGATAAGCTTAGTCCATTACACAGACGTGAGAGCGCTGAGTGGTTAGAGCGCGAATTTACTGACCGGAAGGTACTTGGTTCGAACCCGACCTCTGCCTCTCGACTTCCCCTGACTAGGCTTGAGCAACCTGACAGTATCCCAGCCCTCGTGCTCCCTCCGGGTGGCATGGCAGCTAGGCACCGAAAGGTGTTACAGCTGAACGATTATCTTTTATTATGCATTACAGAAACCCGCCAGAAGTGATCTGAGCACATTCAACCATTTGTTAAGATCTTCCTAGCGTCCGGCACATTTCACGTTGTCTATAAGTTAGCGAAATTTGAACAAATGTAGACGTAACATTTGTGAGGTTGCTAAAAATCCGTTGCTTAGAAACATCCCCAGCTGGGTTCCAAGTGAGTCTCTCTCAAAACCAAATTAGTTCGCAAACGAGTGTATATATTCGCTAGACGGAACGGTCCTGACAATTATCCAGCGCCCTATGTTTGTTCTCGCCGGAAACCGTCAAGACACCCAAAAAATGTTTGCCACACTAGATGCTTTCAATGTGCTTGCGTGTGTAATTATCACCTGGTGAAATGTGCCCTAACTTGTGTATGTGCGCGTATTCATGCTCACGGCTGTGATATGGTGTTCGCACTAAGATTGCAACCGTGACAACTGTTGTTTGCGCCACCTACACGCGAAGTGACTATCGCTCGCTCGAGAACAAGTGTGTGATACCGTCCTGCCGTTGCACTTGCCTCGCATCAACTCGTACACGCGCGCGCGCATGCCCAAGACTCGGCAACACGAGGATCTTCTTCAAAGTTACGCTTGCTTCCCTCTAATTTGTCTCAGGTGAGCGCGTGTGTGGAGGCAAGGGGGGAAGGCGAGAGAGAGAGAGAGAGAGCTCTAGTCTTTGAATGCGGAAGTGATCATACGGAGGTGTGCCACGGATAAATCACAACTCAGTTGATGAAAGCTACTAACTGGGCGTTAATCAAAATACTCGTTCGTGAAAACATCAAAGGATAGACCAACATAAGTGAGGAGCAGTGTCCTAGCAAGACAATGGCGACAGAAAATCTTTCCAGAGTATGAAAATAACTAAATGTTTGTTTCTATGCGGTCCGATTTTCAGACGTACAGTGGAAAAAGCGTGTCTGCCTCAACCTGATAAACTTATTCCGGGAACTGACTTTGAACTGCATCGAAAAGTCCCTTCCAGAGTAGCTTTCAATTTTCAGGACTTGGTGTGTTTGAAAGAGCTTAAGTCTGAGTTCCTCATATGTTCCTCACCAACTCCTTCTCAGCTTCGTTAGTAGTCAGGTGATGACGATGGTGGTGGGACTCGAACTAGCAGACCATGAATAAAAAGTTTGTTTTCCCGGTACACTTTTGAATATGTCAAAGTTTATCCTCAGTTGAAGACAAATTATGGCCTCAAGTGAGCTTGAAAAGTGACGGAAAATGGCGTTATATTTCGCAGGAAACTAGCGGAAATCAGGCGTAGTTTTTGGTTGCCACCTCATCGAGTTGAGACGAGTAAAGGTGCGTATCCACATAGTGTTTAGTTATCTTTTCAGTTTGACAGCTTTTAAACTCACAGTGAATGCTTACAACGCGAAATGATGCGTCTAAATCACATAATGTCGAAGCTTCCCTTAAGCTCGAATCCTTTGCTGAAGCTGCCACCGAGTAATTAGCTATTGTAGATTATATTAGTTAAAAAACATCGTATTTTAGCAACCTTCAAGACCTAATTAAGGTAACAAACGCCTCTGAGGTTAATTTAATATCTTGGAGAATGATCCCGTTTGACGTGAGTGAGTTTCAAGCGCTTGTTCGATCCACAAAGCTGATCCCAGAGTATCCTACGGGGAACTCTCTCACCAGTTTTGGCCTTCCTAGGACTCGTCAGAGGTCCCGCGGGAGTTTTGTTCTGTCTGAACACCATTTGACAGATCCTGTTTGGACTCAGTTGAGCTACCCGTTTAGACCAACTTAGTTCACAAACTTCGCAACACTTTACGTTCAATCAACATGAGGATGACGGCAACTGGAGAACTGTCCCTACGCGACCAAGAGACCAAGACTGATCGTAGGTTGTCAGTAGTTCTCAGCAACGTGGTGATTAGTGTATTCAGTTAACGAACTGGGAGATGTCAACTTAGAAAAATTAAAAACTGATGTTAATCACAGTTGCATCGAATGGATCGGTCTCCCATATCTGTCAAACAAAACTAGTTTGACTCTACGTTCGCTTTTTTTCCCCAGACAATCCTCAATTCGATGCACAAATATCAGCCACGATTTCACCTGGTTCGAGCAAACGATATTCTCCGGTTATCTACCTCGAGGTTTCACACATACACATTTAAAGAGACTCAGTTTCTCGCCGTCACTGCTTACCAGAACGAAAAGGTAAGTCAGAGGTAATTTTCAGTTTGAGCGTAGTAGCCTATGGGTGGAAGGTCGACTGCTCATAGGTGACCGGCATTTGACCCGTGGCGTGGTTTTTCATTGATTTCTTTTCTTTCGCACCACTGGCAGATTACACAACTCAAGATTGATCACAATCCATTTGCCAAGGGATTTCGTGAAAGTGGTGGCGGTCGACGTGAGAAGAAGTGAGTCGGGTCGTTGTTTGTGTCTGAAAGTTGGTCTCTGCTGATGTGTTCGATTGATCATGTCACACCATAATTCCCTCGTTTGAAAACGCGCCTGATATCCCAATAGGAGGTTAAAGATGCTCCCTATCACGTTCAGAAGAGTGTAAGACGCTTGTGGTTAAACGTATTTGGAGCTTAATAACATATGTTTGGATTAGCGAAATACACTATTTGCAAACAAGTTCGGTTTCTCGGGAGACTCACCTGCAACCCAGCTGAATCTCTCNTCTTTGTAACGCACTACTCATAAGGTTGCTGAGAATTCGTCGACAGCCCCCGACCGGTTTCGTGCCTACCTGACGAGCCCCAAGAAGGGCGAAACCGGTCGTGGGCTATCGAGGAGTTTTCAGCAACCTTATGAGTAGTGTGTCACAGATATACATATCTCCGGATTATTCTATGAGTATGGATCGAATTAGATCTAGTTTTGCGTCAAACTATCTATCCGACCCAGGCAGTCCAGAAGCTAAAAGTGATAGCCTTGAGTTTCGGTGTGATTCGAGTTCACTTCCTCATGGGAACATCGGAATCGATTACTGGTTCCCGTTTGATATAGTGTATGGTTGTTTTATTAGCATGTAAATACCTGGACATCCGAATATCAGAACGGAGTTGTTGATGTGATGACTGGTTCTCCTCCAACACGATAGTGATCACAAGGCAAGTTGTTGTGAGTGTCATCACCATCCTCGTTGCCGGCACGACCCTCACAACACAGTAAATAATCCATCAAAGACCGTATGAGTCCGGGAAAAACCGGATAGCCACTGTCAAACATTGTCGGCAAGATGGCAACTGAAGTACACTTTACTTCCATAGATTTGGTCCCTTTTCTCATGCACTTCCAGATACAGTGTCCCCCCGAAGAGGGACCAACCAACTGGGTTGTCCCTAATTCGGAGTGGAACTTCTCGGTAGAGGGCTATTTGGCTCGACGAAACAGTGGTGCAGTATTACGTCCTCTCTTAAAGAGTCCGTATTCGTAGATCACTTCTTATCACTCACCACAGTGAACTATTGAGTCTGTTCCGGAGAATGACTATGGGTTGACCGAGGCAACCAGATCAAATCGCAGGCACGTTTCAACCAGTAAAAAAATCGTTCACCTATAGCACCCCTCCGGCGCCTGGCTGCCATGCCACCCGAAGGTTGAACGAGGGCTGGGATACTGACAGGTTGCCCAAGCCTAGACAGGGGAGGTCAAGAGCCAGAGTTCGGGTTCGGACCACGGACCTCTCGGTCAGTAAACTCGCACTCTAACTACTTGGGCCATCTCGCCCAGTTTAAGCGATTTCCTTTCTTTCTTTTTTGTGTGTGAAGATTTTAAATCGAATTATGCCATCACGCACTTTTCAAAGCTTCTAAACACAGACACCGGTATACTTGAATATGCTCGATTTGTAAAATTCGAATTCACGTCACTCTCATGTGCATTAGTTGAGTATTGGTAACACGCTTGACTAGAACGTCACGCATCCGGAGTTCGCACCCCGGGGCGGACCAGACATATGCTCTCCTGATGTGTCTGAATAAGATTTTAAAAAACTCGAGTTGGTGTAGAGTCACGAGAATTATGGTTTTATAATTGGCCGAGGATTACACTACCCATAAGGTTGCTGAAAATTCATCGACATCCCACGACCAGGTGCAGTCCTCGAGTTTCCGTTGACCTCACGTTCTATTTGAACCAAAATTGCACGAAATTAGCGAAATACATTCAGGTGCAAACAAATTTAGCTTTTTGGGAGACCCACCTGAAACCCAGCTGAATCTCCCGTTAATTTCGTGCAATTCGGGTTCAGGTAGAAAATAAGGTTGATGGGAACTCAGAAACTGCGCCTACCTGATCAGCCCCAAAAAGGGCGAGACCCATCGTGGGCTGTCGAGGAATTTTCAGCAACCTTGTGAGTAGTGTATTGCGTCTATACGTGTATCGCGATATCTTGAACATCGTATCAACTGAGCCTTCCACAAAATGAAATTTGTTTGCGAGTGCGTGTATTTCGCTAAGGGCGAGGATTATTTAAACGAATTTTGTGAATTTGAATAGTTTTGAGCTCACCTCGACCACCCAATCCAACCCTACCTTCTTTATGAGGATGAACGGTTCTTTTTTTGAAAAAGACCTCAAAGGAGTGCATTCATCTCTGATAGTAGTATTCTTATTTGTATTATTCCGGAATCTCGACCGTAAGGCTCACGAACAGTCAAGCTCCTTCATGTTTCATCATGTGTAGCTTACGATGAAATGCAAAGAGCTCAGCTTACTAAACGTCAGTTTAAACTGGGGAGCAGTTTTGTCAAAAGTGGCCCAACTCAACGGCAGACAATCCTGCAATGGTGCACTCATTTTCGGGAGCAATAGTTGTTTTGTGAATCGTGGACAGCAGGACATTAGTGTTCAACACCGATGCTTCGTTTGGACTGTTTTCGACAACTACACTCATTTGCAAATCAATTTGGTTTCCACGAGAGACTCGACTGAATCTCTCGTTTATGATATTCTACAACTGAATGTGTTGCACACCTAATAATTTAGTTGGCACGATGTTCGAGATATCGCGCATATTTTCATAAAGGAAACTCCCCACAAGGCTGGTGAAGTCTCTTCGACATTCCACGACCGGTTTCGTCTTTCTTGGGGTTCATCAGGTAGGCGCAGTCCCGAGTTTCCGTCAACCTTATGGTCTACTTGAACCTAAATTGGACTGACTGTTTTCGAGAAATACACTCATTTGCAAATC